AGACGGTGAAGATATAACAGACGGACTAGAAACGGGTGAAGAACGTGGCCACTGCTGAGAGAAAAAATGACATCAGAAATATCCTCGCAATCAAATTAAAAGCAATGGAAGTAAAAATAAATCATCTGGTACTCGTCACAAATAGAACAGAATGGGAGATTATCAAGCTGTTAATTCTGAACTGGCACCGTCAGATCATGAGAACTGGCTTCAGACTTCACTTGGAGTGTCCAAAGCACACTTCACTTTCACAGGTGTCGTAAGGTACAAAGGAGCTGTCACACAATATTGCTTCCATTGTGTGCCAATATTACTCTGCATTCCCAAAAGCCACTGCAGCGCAGTTTGGCTTGGTGAGGGGCATCGAATGGTACTCATCGAAACTTGTGGAGGTCATCTGCCTGATGACGTGCGAAATACTGTGACCAAAGCGGTTCACTTACACCTTTTCGCAGCTTCACAAGTATTTACAGGTCTCACCAAAGTGCAACCTGTTAGTCAACACGAACTTGAAGAAGTACAACCCCCCTACCCCTCAAGCCGTACAGCGATAACCAGGGCTTTACTTCTTTGGCGTACATTGTTCTACATAAATAAGACTTAGGAGGTGCCATGTCAATATAAAGCCCCAGCCCCGATTTTTTCAATAAACAGTGAGGTGAGAGGACTGAGCTCTTCTTGAGAAAAAAAAACTGAAAAAGAAACCGTACCTGATAAGGTGGTCCTGGAACTACAAAGCCATCACTATCGGGATGAACAGCTGGACCACCAAGACCGACTTGATCAACAACCATGTGGGTGATTCTGGATGGATCAAGATGGCCTAACGGGCTATCAACAGAACGATTTCGTTCCTAAAAACATTCACAAATAGCAAAATCTGTCCATGAACTATCGAATAAAATTCGAAAAAGGAAACTTAGAAGAAAACCAGGAGGTCAGGAAAACTCAAATAGGCTACTGCATCCTTCACTCAACAAAATTTTCCTGAGGTAACTTTTTCAAGTACGGTTCCTACACACATTGTTTTCGACAGATCTTGAGCTTTTGAAACCCTCTCTTTCAAAGCTTCTTTCGTTCTTATCTGTCCAGGACCAAGAAGCTTTGAAAAAGAGGGTTTCAGAACTCAAGATCTGTCGACCACTTTGCAGTTCGTTAGCAAAGAAAGTTCAGCCAGGGGTGGGGGTATAGGGGAGACATTTTGCACTTTCGCTGCTTGCATTTACATGTTTGTTATGCGATTGTTGACAAGTAGTTTCTGCAAAGTTTGCACGACAACTTGCAAAAGCAAAAGTGCGAAATGCACACCCCCTCCCTCCTCTCAGGAGAATGTACGACCAAGGCCCTTCTGATGCACGTACCTGAAGATAAAACTATGCACTGGGGGGTCAACTACTCCTACCTAGCCGTACGCCAGTTTGGGAGCGAGAGAGAAAGAGAGAGAGAGAGAGAGAGAGAGAAGTTCGCAAATGCCTGGTTCGTTCTAAAAGAAAACAGCACGTTTTGTTATTGCATGGACTTTTTGCTGAACAGTACAGGACCCGTTTCACTCGGAGGGGAGTGGAGAGAGAATGCCAATCTGTACGAACCTGTGCCGAGGCCAGAGTGTGCTCATACTTTGCATCAGTGCTTCGTACAATTAGGATGATATAAGCATTGATCCAGCGTTTCAAGCGTTCGCCCTTTTCAGCGTCCACCTACGTTTTGCGCGACTGGGAATGTACAGATAAGGCATTGTTCACAGCCTGTGATCCTGACGAAACGGCGGTTGGGCGAAAAGCAAAAAATACGGATTGATCGGAGAATCGCCAACCGCTAGTTTCGCCGAACCGCCGCGGTTCGGCGGTTGGGCGAAAAGCAATAGATGCGTATCGATTTCGCTGGCGAAAAACGCCAGGGCGGTCGAGCTAGCGTTTCGCGAAGGCGAAAAACGCCGCGGTTTGGCGAAACGCCCGTCGTTTCCAACCGCCGAACCGCTGACTCTTCGCCCAACCGCCGGTCGATACGTATCGGGAGCTTTTCGCCGAAGCTTTGAGAGAAACGCAGGTTCGCAGACTGTGAACAATGCCTAACCGTTGTCGCTCAGACTGCCAGTAGGTGCTCAAAACGCTGAATCGAATTTTATACGTTTCCAGTAGCTAAAGAAAGGCGCTTGAAAGGCTGCCGCAAAGTATGAACGCACTTCTATCATACCACCTTCCACATTGTTAAATCTGATAAGAAAGGAATCGGAAATTGAAATAGCAACACCTACTGCTTGTTTCCTAATATCGTCGTCACATTCCATAACGTGTTCGAAGCTTCGATTGCGGCCATCATTTGAAGACATTTGGTACGTTATCTCCTGGTGAAAATTCTATAGACAGATAAGCATAAGTACTTAAAACCGATAATTGCAGAGCAACGTTTGAAGAAGCCCAAAAATATCCAAGACCGCAAAGCGGTTATTCTAGAGATTTCATTGAAACAAGGCGCTTTATTGAGATCATCAAGTGAGACAACATAGAAACCGAGTCAACAAAGCGTTCTATATCTCAAAGAAGAAAAAAATAAAACGGCGCAGTCTAAAGAAAACAAAGTGAAGCAGTTATTAAGCTGTGAATAGCGCTATTCAACCCTTGGAGAACAAGAAAATTCATAGCTTCGCATCGATATCGCTCATGACAGCTTTCAAATTCTGGTACTGTTCTTTACTGAGACTGATGCCTTTCTTTGACGGACGTAGCTCTCCTGACGTCTGAAAATCCATAGTAAAAATAGGACGAATAACATTTAGAAACTTGTTCTCTGGGGAGCAGGGGCATGCCAGGCGGGATGGCTTTCGCGTGGCACCAAGTCCGTTTTTCACCAGTTGTTGAAGCGAGCAAACGACAAGACTGTATCATATCGTTCGCAGCCCGCCCGACACGCCCTTTCATCAGCAGCGAACAAGTCTGTATTGACAAAGAGAGGGAAAGAGGATCAACAAGCATTCCAGAGACAAACCTTATCCGAATAATATTCACGGATGTCGATGAGCATTTTCCCTCGGAAGTTTCTGACCGTCACATATCTCATACTTCCAAGTTCAATCATCTGAAATTCACAAATCCAGAACTCATTCTACTATACGACCATGCAAATTTTCTCAAACAATGAGCATCACCTCCAAAAGCTCACAACAGTCGCTTTTCCAGATCCTAGCGAAACTGGTGTTTCGCGCTGGATGAAAAAAATCTCACCTCCTCTCCATCGGCATTTTTGATACGATTGCCACCAGTCTTTGATTTCTTCACCGGCGCGGCGTCTATCACACCTTCGTCAGAAGACGAGTCGCTGTCTACACGGCGTTTCTCTGGCTGAAAACTCCGAGATGATGAAACCTCATGGAAGGACACATACTCTGTACATACCTTCTTTGATTCTTTCTTGGACTCCTTCTTTGATTTTTCTTTCTTTGATTTCTTCGGTGACTTCTTTTCCTCGTCAGAAGATGACATGGTCTGGAGGGACTTTTATTACGGCTGGATTAGTGATTAGCCAACTTAATTTTTTTCAACGCGAGGTAAACAATTGAACAGAATTGGTGTTCGCAGTTCGACTTGGAAGGAGGGAGCATTTCGCACTCGCGCTGTTTCCCACTGCCGCGTTGAGACATCAGAGATCTGTGAAACCTGAAGCCAGCAGGTGATACCGGTCAAAGTCTCTAGAAACTGCTTGACAACATTTGTAAAGAATACTTGTCAACCCCGTAAAATAATGAACAGGCAATGGTAGCAAATTTGCAAAATGCCTCCCCCTATATCCGAACGCGCCGAATTGGTCTATCGCTGATCTCTTGCACAAGCAGAGATGAATTAAAAAAGGAGGAACGCAAAAAATCGTTATTAGCAAATGGAGTGACCAAAAAATCAGCGCTTCAAGCGATGACGATAGCTCGCGCCAGCGCTAGGCCGTGTAGCACAGCCAAAATCAATGATGATGCCTTACGTTTTGCACCCCGCAATATTAAAACAGAGAAGCCAATCACTTGAAATTTCTTCCCCTCCAGTAAAAACTTGAGAGAATCTCTTTAGTGGTGAAAGAACTGAGGAAATAAGCAGTACTAGACCAGGAATGGAGGGCGTTTTGTGACTGGTGAAGGCGCTAACAATAATCATTGAAATATCGCGAGAGAAATAAGCTTTGAAAAACTTTTAAGACCTCTGTGTCTTTTTTATTTGAAAAACTTTTAAGACCTCTGTGTCTTTTTTTTCTTCTGATTGGACTTTACAATCGGGTTTACTCGGTAAGGTTTGATATGTGCACTGATCACTAAATTCTTTCAGCAGTCAGTTGACTGCAAATAAACAGTTTCCAGCGATGACAATACCCAACTACGGCGCTATTTCCCTTGGAAGGGGCACTATGCACAGTTACGATCCCTGCTTGGATCGTGACCAGATCACATTTCCCACCAGTTGCAGCAGGTCAGGTGGACGCCGCATCATATGCCATACAGCTATTCGGCTTAGAGAGGGCGTTTTGCACTTTCGGTAGCTCTTTTGTTATTCATGATAACTAACAGGCCTGAACCTGTAGGCTTCTTAAGCTGCGAAAAGGCTCGAGTGGAGCACCGTGGTCTAGCAGATCTTCCCATAGGCCTGCACAAGCTTAGCTGAGTACCACCTGGTGCCCTCACCAAGTCGAACTACAGTGCCGATTATAATGTGTAACAACTGTACAATTGTATTTCTGCCCGAATTTACGAAGGGAGAACGGAAAAAGAGAAAAGGTCCCTCCGTGGGTTTTTCCATTTCAAGAAACGTGGTTCACACAGACCGGCATAATGTGGGTATTATTTCCTACAAATATTTGTAATTAAGGGGCATGTTCGGGAGCAGTTCGGCTTGGAGGTAGCATGCTGTTGTTTCGCTGCTTTCCACTGCAGTATTTATTGCTTTACAAAAGTTGACTAGAGTACCTGTTCAAAAGCTGACAAGTAGTTCTACAAACTTTGAGTGATATCACTTCATGGCTTCACAAGTTTTCACAAATCACTCCTGATTGGCTGCATACGATAGACGGGAAGGTAGCAGCAAGCGCAAAAAGGACCCCCCCCATGCAGCCGAACTGCGCGCATGTCGTTTCCGCCGGCTGCAAACGTTTAAGGTACATTATCAAAATTAACCACATCCGTGTTGGGAACTTCCTTTCATGGATAAAGTATTCAATGAGGAAGCAAGAAAGCAAAAAAAGAAAAACGCGCAACAAGATAGCTAACACTCTGAAAAAGACCAGAATTCAAATGAAGTTTTATATAAAGATGGAACAGTCGCTAAGAATCAACACAGACTGGAGAAGATTTAGTAGACGCGAGTCAAAATCACTGCCTTGTTGTAACCAAAATTTGACAAGCAACATAGCAGTTCAGCGAAGTTATGAATACATGGAAGTGGGCTGTGCTAAAGCGAGTGTTAGGTCTGTGGGTCGATGGAATGCCGAGACGACAAAGATTGGATCTGGAGAGCCGAGAGTGAGCCGATCACCATCCCATCCAGCTAGCAAACGAAAAGCATTTGGACAGGGCCTTAGTCTATGCTTAACGTTGCGCGCCAGAATTCGAGAAGAAAGAGCCAAAAGCCCATCCTCAACATTAGGGTGCATTTAACGCAAACCTTGTTATTCACTCTGAGCAGTCGTGGGTAAAAAACTGGAAAATGTTCGGCATGAAGGCAATTTGTTTTGTCCGGGTAACTTAATATTGAATGAAGTTTTCATTCCTCAGGTGCAGCTTCTATATGTGGAATCTTTTAGAACATAGAAAACTGGGAAGAAAGAAACGTAGATAATAACATGGTCCCTAGAAAAACGCTAAGAAAATCGAAGGGCGGGGCACGTGTAACGTAGTTGGGAAGGGACCGCCCTACCGAAGGCTTGGGAAGAGATTTTCGAGTGGGCGTTATTACTTCCAACAAGACTCTAGTCTTGATGTGGCCGCTCAAGGCTAAAGCTTGGCTTCGTAAATGGATACACCGCCTTCGGGAGTGAGGTACCAAGGCTCCCCCCCTTCCCACAACGTATTAAGCCTCCGAAGGTGTTCGGGCTGGCATGAGGGCAAACCTCGCAATGGCAATACTGTTGGTGTGATCTCTCGGGTTGACGTTCAAGTTGCAAAACCTATGAGCGCTAATGGCGCTTCAGTGTAGAAAAAAAGCAAAAAAAGAAAGATGGAGAACAAGGTAAGCACCCCGCTTGGCAGCATCTCTGGACGCCTCACTAATCGTTTCCTCGCTTCATCCAGTATTAATACCATCTAACAGTGGAAAAAAGTGCGAAGGCTTGTGGCAGAAAAATAGCCTCCGAGATTTGGTGGGCGGGACAACTAGGAAGGCGTCGCAACTGCCACTTTTGAGGGCCGCAGCGTCCTTCGCTACTCACTGCGAAGCCGCGAAAGTGGGACAATTTCAGAGATTGAGGGCCAGACTAGTTGTACAAGGAAGCACGCTTACGAATGTCCTGAGCGCGGTGGCCGTCTTTAACCTCCTACTCCATCAGATTTTCTTCGATTCCATGCTTGACCCTTTAGCCAGCGTGCTTTCTTCAAAAAAATTTTGAACGATTTCTTATCCATTTTGCCAACAAAACCCGGAAAACAAAAAACAGTTTTGAATGTTGAGTCAGTAAGGACATTCATAGGAGAAAAACCGGAGAATAAAACATGCAAATAGAATGAGAATCCAGAATAATGAATGGGAACTAACGAGGTCCATCTTCACAAGATACAGATCAGTTCGGGCAGAACACAGAAAAAAAAATCGGTCAGTTCACCTTGCAAAGGGCACCAAATGATACTCAGCACGGCCTGTACAGGCCGTCCTGTGAAGATCTGTAAATTCTTGTCACCAGTAAATCCCAGATGTAGCATCTTCCAACTTCACACGAGTTCACAGGTCTGGCGAAAATGAAACCTGTTATATGAACTAGCTTAAGGAATAGCGAAAGCGTGAAATGCCCCTCCCAAGATGAACAGTGCTGAAAAGTCATTTAGTTGACTGGAAAAAAAGAAAACAAAACGGCCTGAAAACTTCCACCGATTGTCAGCAAACTCGTGCAATGAAACCCTTAGAAGTGAAAAATGAAGCATTTTTGTTTTCGAGAACCCGTGGGCCCACATCGAAGCAGCATTGTTTCTGTCTGAGCTCCAGCACCACCAATTCGGTTGATCTTTGAACTCTTGCTTTGACGCTGTTTTCGTTTTGTAGTTAATGTGAATCCGGGTATTTATAAGCAAGATCTAGTATGGGCAATACTTCATATGCAATAGCAGTTTAGCACATCAAAAAATGGAGAAATAATAAAAATTTTTGTAGGGAACCGGAACGCAGCTAGGCGTGTGTCGTAGTCACGCTTTGAATTATTTCCCGCGCGCGCACGAAGAACAGCATTTGGATTAGGGCGCAATAACCCGTGCACTGGAATTCCACTCGCTTCTATCAATGGAATCTAATAGTGTTCGAAAAGTGTTGCGAATTTCCAATCAGCTTAGCTAATACATTAGCAATGAAGGGAAGGAACATTAATCATTACAGATCTCGTCTTTCCATTTGCCTTGATTTTGCTGCATTCCGATTTCCACTGCAGCAAAAGTAACACTACTATTAGAAGAGTAGAGACATGAACATCAGAGTGTTTCACTTGAGGCTAACTTCAACATTGAAGAATCGTTGTTTCCCTGCGTGTGTTATATGATAGGGAGGTTGCGTGTCTACCGTATCTATTGACCTTTAAAGATTTGTGCTGCTGCTATATCACCGTATAAAATCCCTGGAAACTTTTTCGTGCTATTGTAATACAGCAGCGATATGCAGTACATGAAGCTTATAAGCTGCATAGTAAAATTTCCTACAGAATTTCTTTCGTTCGTTGTGGGCTTACATGCACATTCAAGTCGGAAAGCCATCAAATCCAACTTACAATCTAACTGTACCAATCAGTCCCATCGGGTATGTGACAAGAGAATCGTTATTCGCCGCGGGCGTCGCGTGCGACGTCGCGCCCGCAAATGACGATGGTTTCAGGTAGTAGATGGCGACAACAGGCAATTCAGAACCGAAAATAGTCATGAATGTCTACGATGACGGGGTCTACATGAAGTCCGGTGCTCCAGTCGACAGGTTAACACGAGTTAAGAAACGCCGCGCCCATCGCCGCGCGCGGCGAAGCGGCGAATTACGATTCTCTTGCCCGTCTTCCGTCCATCGTTGATGGTTCCCCTTCCCTGTTTCCCTGTCTCGCTCTCATTCGCGAGAAGTTTCGAACTCTTTCCATGTTGTTGATTTCTGGCACGTGACACAGATAAACAGATAGAAAGCAAAGATGGCGCTAATACCTCACCGTTACTTTGATGTGGGAGCCGAATGCATGGCCAAGAAGAAACCAATCAGTGTCCTCTGCACTGTTTGCTATTTTTCTCGACGACAACGGGATTCCTTGCACAACATATTAAGTGCCTGAACAA